AATATCTGCTCCATAAAGGCTTTGTTTTTATTTACTATTTCTCCAGTGCCTAGAATAATGCCTAGTACATAGTAGGTGCTCAATAAATGTATATTGTATGAATGAATGATGACTTTATGGAAAGACTTTTGCTCTTTCAACCTCAATATTTCATACCTTTTATTAGGGCATTGGCATAGCATGAATTCAGAGAAAATCTTTACTTGCTTAAGTGACTAGTTCCTCTGTGTACACTACAAGTAGATCAGGAATAGGATTATTGAATGGCTGTTTCTCTTCATACTGATCAGACTCTTGTACGATTAGATCAGCCTTAATTTCTGATTACTCAGTGATGATTTGTTTTTAATCATTCTTGATTACTCAATAACCACTTGGTACTCATTTGTGACCTCAAAGATTATATGGGAATAGGCCTTTTGTGGTTTTCAGATGGACTAACTAACATCATACCATTGCATTGACTTTTCTCTGCTTTTATCCTGTTCCTTTCCAGCATTTCTTATACTGAAGCAGTGGAGATCTTAAAGCAGGCATCTCAGAACTTCACCTTCACCCCAGAGGTAGTATTTTTATTTACATTTATATTAATACTTATATGTATCTTCCCCTGCTCTTGTCCTTATCATCTGTCATTAACAATGCTGACGTGTGGCTCAGTCGGTAGAGCATTCAACCCTTAATCTCAGGGTCGTGAGTTCAAACCCCACGTTGGGAGTAGAGCTTACTTTAAAAAAAAAAAAAAGAATCCTTTAAAATAATCTTATTTCTCTTATTAGCAGTGTTTAGTATTTGCTTATCTTTAGATTGGCCTTTTTTTGATGTTTGCTTAACCTTGTTGAAACAGTTAGAATAAATAATAATTTTGAAGTAGAATCCTATCCTTTATAATAGTCATGACTAAAGGGTTATAAAGAAGTTTCCCAAGTTTAGGAAGGTGAAAATCCTTTAAGAGAATGGTAACATATTCAGAGAGGTCACATGACTTATCAGTGGGCATGCCCATAATGTTAGAGGTGAGTCTCCTTGTTCCTATGTCAGAGCTTCTTCTCTATAATTAAGGTATTGGCAGACAGTAGGAATAATATAATGTTAAGAATTTCTATAATGACTCTATCTTCAAACTATGCCATATACTGTTCCTATCCCCAGTCCAGTCAGATCCTCTTATGAGTTATAATAGTTATGCTTGTTATATTTATAATCAGTTAATTTGTATAATTTTTTATTTAATATTTGTCTCCCACCCTGGAAGCTTCATGAAGTTGGGGATTCTGTTTTTCTCACCACTATGTTCAGTATCTAGCTAGCATGGTACCGGGATTTAATAGGCACATTAGTATTTGTTGAATGAATAGATAAACAGTGTTATTAAATATTCATCAGAACATCTGATATATGAATTGACTCTTTTATTAAAAAAAATTCACTGAGAGAAGCCATCTAGCCAGAGATAAACTGAATATTAGGAATATTATCTTTCATCATTTAATTTCCTGTGATTTAGGAACAGTAACCATAGAAGAAGCTGTAGGCGATATTAATAAAAGCCATGATTTTGAAGTCCATTTTTACACACTGTGGGAAGTGTACTTTATTTTCTTGCAGATGCGATTCATCTGCTAAATGCCGCTCCCCAAGATGGGGGACAGAAAGCATAGTGTTTATCTACTGGTTTCAGTTTTCATCTCTCCAGGCCTTCGGATGTTCTCATAACACACCTCTCTGTTTCACTTATCTGTGTAACCTCAGCAGACAGCTCCACACATCACTGATACACAGAGGAAGCCCTTGGAACTGATACAGGTTATTTTCGGGTACTGCATTGTGTATTTCAGCTTTGTCTTCTCCTTTGATAACTTCTTTTTTCTCACTACAGTGGGGTGTTGATCTACATACTGAACATGAAAAGTACCTGGTGAAACACTGTGGCAACATACCAGTCTTCGTCATTAATTATCCATTAGCACTCAAGCCTTTCTACATGAGGGATAATGAAGATGGCCCTCAGCACACAGTAAGAAAGATCACTAAATAAATCAGGGTTGGTCATCTCAGAGTCTGGGCTTTTCCCTTGATTTAATTTCATTTATCTTTTGGCATATTTTACAAAATTATATCCATCACTTGACCTGTCTTAAAGTAATAAAATTTCTCAAAGCACCTCTAAAAAAAAGTGTTCCTACAGAAGATCTCAGTGTTCTATAAACATATTTCCTCCTCTCTGTCGCATTATGTCCTTCTTAGTTTAGCAGATGCAAATGTAAATGTGTTTTTTGTTTTCTTTTGTTTTTTTAAGTAATTGAGAGGAAGTGGCCCAGAGCAGTGTTGAACAGTGGCAGGTCTACCGTCTCGTAAAATACCGAGAAGGACTGAGGGGCGGAGGGATGCGGGTAAGAAAGGAAAGCAGTGGTATGATCAGGCGGAGGAAGAGCTTCCTTGGCAGAGCAGGAGGCTCAGAGTGCTTTGGTTTGGCTGTCATACAGAAATGGTAGGCTGAATCTGGAGGGATCCGAGAGGGCCAGGCAGATTCTCCTGTCACTCCTCTTCTGACTGTCTCTTCTCTGTCTTTTCTCTGTCTCTTTCTCTGCTTTTGCCTCTCCTGTGCTCTGTCCTTTTTTCACCCTTAACTTTCATTGCTTTTTTATTCTTCTGGTTTACTTTTTCCTTTTTTTCTTTTTTTTTGGTGTGTCTTTATCCCACTCTAACAAAATTAGCCGTAATATAAAATAAGAATATATTTTAATCTTTAAATACTTAAATACTTATTGAATAGTTAAATACTTAATATCATTAATGGTAAAAGTCTGTGAGACAAATAAATTATGTTTACCTCACAAAAGGTCTAAGACCTAAACTTTGCTATCTGGGGCTTTTCACTTGTCTCTAGATAAATACCAATAGAAAAATTATATCAGGGCCCACTAGTAAATAAAATGCCTTCATCTTAGGAATACAAGGTTCTCTATTTGAATGTATTACCTGTTTTCTCTATATATTATAGTATTAGTAAAATAGCATTAGCCATCTATTAATAGATTCCTATCAGGCGACACTACATCTCATCTCTAACTTGCCAAGAAACTTATTTCTCCCATTTTACAGATGAGAAGCTGGGGTTCAGGGACATCAATTGCACTTCCCATGCCTGCATAGGCAGCGAATGACAGAGTTGGTGATCAGATCTGACTCCCTCTGGCTCTGAAGTCTGTGTTCTTTCCTACTCTGTCATACTACCTCAAAGCCATAAATATAAAATTACATTGATTTTACGCATCCCACCTTTTCACACAACGTTATCCAAAACCAGTGAGCACACAGTTGATTTATGATTCTTATTTTCTCTTCTCCCTACCAACCTTCTGGTATAATTGATTATGAGAGAGGAATTGGCCCACAGGTCAGCAGCAAAGAATAGGAGAGACTAGGACATAGATTACCCAGTCCTAAAAAATTCAGTATTGAGCCTACGTCACAAAACAGAACTGCGTCCATATGTGTTGGCTTTTTTATCACTCTATCCCATCCTGCTTCCACCTCGCCGCTCCCCCCACCCCCATACACACGCCATGTAGTGTTTGCATGTAACTTCCTGACATTCAGCACTTCTCAGACATTCAGTTGTGCACTTCTTAAATACTCCTTCTCTCTATTATAATAATAATGTGGCATGGTGACGGCTGGTGACTACACTTGTTGTGGTGAGCATTGAGTAATGTATTTCATTGTTGAGTCACTGTTGTCCACCTGAAACTTATACATTGTATGTCAACTATACTTCAGTGATTTAAAAATCAATTCAAAGTGTTTTAATTAATAACTTTGCCACTTTATAGACTTTCCTGGGTTACCCAGTCACCTTGAGCCTTCCTCTTCTGAATTTCTGTAGCATGTAAAGAATTAGTAAAACTGGTAACATTGTGTCTATTTTTTGTACTCTCTGTATTGGTTTTCCTTTCTCAAATGAAACTCTTCTCAGGATGGGAATAAGTTTCTTATAGCCACCATGGCTTCTACTACTCATTCTTCATTCCCTCTAACTGTGACTTCCACCCCTGTCGTACCACTGAAGCAGCTCTTTCTAGGGTCAGTAATAACTGTCATGGTATTAAATCCACAGACTTTAAAAGTCTTAATTTTTACTTTACCTCTCGGCATTACTCAGCACTAATGGCTTTCTTATTTTGAAATTTTTCTCCTCCCTTGGCTCCTGTGACATTGCATTCTCCCAGTTTTCCTCTGTTCTCAGTGGTTTATTCTTTCTCAGTCTCTTATATAGGTTTGTGCTCTTCCATCGATCCAGTGGATGATGGGATTCCTCAGGGCTCCATCATAGATCTTGTTTCTCCTCGGGTGATTTCATCTGTACTCACAGCTTAATATTTATTTTCAGACAACTCAGACAGTCCTGTCTCTAATCCATACTTCTGCTCTGAGCTCTTACTGCCATTTATATATCTCAGAGGCATCTCAGCAAATCTAAAACTTACCCACCATTTCTACTCTTCTCCCCTCCTCCCACCAAATTTGACCTTCTTTCAATGTTCCCTGCCATCTAAGCAAGCCATATACCAGCCTCGTCTTTGAAATCTTCCTCACTTCCCATATTCAAGCTGTTATGAAGTTGTCATTTTTATACTTTTAAATAAATCTCAAATCCATCCGCTTCTCCTCATTTCCACTTTTACCTTTTTAGATTAAGGTACCATCATCTCTTGCCTGGTTTATTTCAGAAGCTTCCTGACTGGTCCTCCTGTGTCCACTTTTTCCTCCTCTGAGTCATTTCTCCCCACTTCAGTGTAGGCTTTTAGAAAATGTGAATCTGGTTATGTTATCTCCCCTCTTAAAACCATTCAGTGGCCTCCCATTGCTTTTTGTACCAAAGTCAGAATCCTTTCTTTGGCCCCTAGGCCCAGTATCATCTGGCTGCTCCTGTCTCTCTTGCCTGATGTACTATGCTGCTCCCCTTTGCTATTTCTGCTACATTCACATCACCCTTCCATGTCTTCAGACATGTACTGCTTTCTCTCATCATGGTATCTTTGCACAGTGTTCCCTCAATCTAGAACAATTTTCTTTACTAAGTAATTTTGCTATTTCTCCAAATCTCTATTCAGTCATCATTTCCCCAGAGAAACCTTCCATGACCCTCCAGACTGAGTCAGAGACCACTGTTAGACATTACAATGGTACCAGATTAAATTTCAGACCCAGAGCTACTAACTCTTCTTTTTTCTTTTTAATTTTTTTTTACATTTATTTTTGAGAGAGAGAGAGAGAGAGAGGGCACACAAGCAAGGGAGGGGCAGAGAGAGAAGGAGACACAGAATCTGAAGCAGGCTCCAGGCTCCGAGCTGTCTGCACAGAGCTGGATGCGGGGCTCAAACTCACAAACCGTGAGATTATGACCTGAGCCGAAGTTGGACACTCAACCGACTGAGCCACCGAGGCGCCACAGAGCTACTAACTCTTAATTCATCATAATCCTTAACACAGTTGTAATTTTACATTTATTTTTATGACTGTTGAATTAACGACCCTTCTTTATGCCACAGGACTCGTGGACCTCCTTTTCACTCATCGTTGTATCCGTAGTACCTAGCATAATGCCTGGAGCGTCACAGGCACTTCATACCTATTTGGTGATACATTGGGTATTGGGCAGATGGATGAATTGACACACAGTGGAGAAGTAGTGAGTGAGTGACTTCATTTGCTGAGGAAACTTCTGGGAAGCCAAAGAACAGCTTTTCTCTAAACCTCTAGAGTGACGGTGATATATTGTATAAAGGAAAGTCCAGTGGCTTTAGAATCACTCTTAGGTTCAAGTCCCAGGTCTGTGTGTTATAGGCCATGTGATCTTAAGTAAACCACCTAATTTCTTTGAATCTTAGTTTCCCCATCCATAAAAAATAAGATGATAATCTTATTCCAGCCTTGTGAAGATTAAATTAGATGATCTAAGAAAAATATCTAGCACAGTGTTTGGGGTGGCAGGTAGTCAGTAAGTGCAAAGCTCTCTTTCCTTCTAAATTTTGATACAATCTTTATTGTGATAAAGCACAGTAATGTTAAAATAATGTGTTTTGCAACATCAAACATGCTCTTACACAAGATTCTTTAAAAAGCCATTCTCTGATAGACTGCAGTCGCAAACATTTCTTCCCTTATGACAAGTCTCTCTAATAATGTGGTCTCACAGTTTGAAAACTGAAAGTATTATAATGGTATTTTAGTGTCCTCATATAATTTAGACAGTACTGTAATATGTAGCTTCTCAGAGCTAAATTATTAAAGCATAATGTAGTTAAACTATATGTGTATGTATATATATATATATATATATATATATTAGACATAGATTGTAACGTTGATTTATTAACATCCTAGATTTCAACCCACTTGTATAGGGTACCTGCTTTCATCCCCTACTTTATTTTTTTCAATGGTGAATGAACAGGCTTTGGGCCAAATAACTAAGTTCTGTGTTTCTTTTAGTTGAGCTATAATAACAGGTTGTGGGCAGGGTTGCAAGAGTTTCTGCACTGGGTGCAATGCAATGTAAAAAATTCAGACAGACATGTTTCATAGGTGCCGTCCCTGGGGAATCAAAAGAGAAGGGTAGAGAAACGTTTAACCTGCATCTGTAACATTTGACCAGAGGTCATAAATAGTACAATTGTGTATTTTTCCAGTCGTTGTTCCTTTTCCTTTCTTTTCACCCCTTCCCCACCCCCTCCAAAAAACGAAAAATGAAGATAGGCACTATTATTATAATGAAAAGTACACTGGACTAAGGAGTTAATAGTGCCGGGCTTGAAATCCAGCTATCTTACTAGTTAGCTATATGACCTCAGTCAAGTCTGTCCAGTCTCTGAGCCTCACTTTCTCCCTCTGTAAAATCAGAGAATTGGATTAGATGACTCCACTGTACTAAACAGCTTTAAGATCATCTGTTTTCAAGTAGCATAAGTTTTTCCCCACTTGGATATATAAGAATAACTTGTAAATTAGTAA